TTGAACATCCAGCCTGGCATGGGCAACTGGGATGCCAGGGGGACTTGTGCTTCAGTGCCAATCACTTCTGAAGCAGCTCCAAGCCCTTCATAGGCTGCCAGTATCTCTTTTTCACTTGGAGCGTAGCTGGCCTCGGATCCTCTGTATCCCTGACTCCAAAAGCCGAGGGGTCAACCCTGAGACTCCCCTGGAGCTTTCTGCCAGAGGCTCCAGGTAGGACCATTCTCCCCAGCTGCGGTACAGAGCACATTTGTCACATCCGGCCCAGTCCGGACTGGCCCAAGGCTATGCACTATCTCCTGTTTAATTTGTTCAAAGGCTTGTTGTTGCTCAGGGCCCCATGTGAAATCATTCTTCTTCCGTGTCACATGATAGAGAGGGCTTACAATCAGACTGTAATTTGGGATGTGCATTCTCCAGAACCCCACAACACCTAAGAAAGCTTGTGTTTCTTGTTAGTTGGTGGAGACATCTCTTGTTAGTTGGTGTTATCTTGTTGATCACACCTGTGGGGATCTGATGTCCATCTTGCCATTTTATCCCCAAAAATTCAATCTCCTGCGCAGGTCCCTTGACCTTACTCTGTTTTACGGCATAATCGGCCTTCAGCTTGGATTATTTCCTTCCCTTTCTCAGAAACTTCTTCCACTGTAACACCCCCCATAAAAAGGAACCTGTGTCTCTCTGTGTTGCCCAGGCTATGCTGCAGTGGCTATTCACAGGCACAATCCCACTACTGACCGGCACAGGAGCTTTGACCTGCTCCATCTCCAACCTGGGCTGGTTCACCCCTCCTTAGTCAACCTGGTGTGCCCCAGCTCCCCGGGGCTCACGACAGTGATGCCAGCCTTAGCACGGACACCTCCTCAGCATAGCACATTGCAGCCCAGAACTCCTGGGCTCAAGCGACTCAGTGGGCTCAGCCTCCCAAGCAGCTGGGACTACAGGCATGCACCACCACTTCTCAGAAGCTTTGGCCACAGAGAAGAATACTGGAGGTCACCATTTACGTTCCACCACATCAGTGGAAGGCAACTCGATGGCATCTGTTGAAAGGCTGAATTGCAGATGCTCAGAGAACAAGCGGAACAACATCCATGGACTGCAAAGCATGTCATGGAGAACCATAACCTCAGAGAGGATAACAAAAACTTTGTTCTTTGCAATCAGTTAAAAAGGCTCAAGAAATTGATGCCAAAACAGTAATGGAATTGGAAAAAGCTTTCTCAGAAGCTTTGGCCACAGAGACACAGTAATACAATTGTTACAGCTGAACCCAGGCCACCCTTGTTGGAAGGAACTGAGTACATCCCCAAAAGCATATAAGCATCTTACAACTAGAGAGGAGTGCTCTGCATTATCCTTTCTGGCTGATCAAAAGCAGCAGTACTGTGCAGTTTGGAATGGAGTGCTCTCTTTTCCTCCTTATCCAGAGAAAAGGAGACAGATTAGAGGTCTGCAAGACGCTCATGTAGGTAAAGAAGGCTCTTAATATTAGGGAAAACTAAGTCAGGATCCTTGAGAATTCAGCAAACTGCTTCACCTTGGAAGTGTTCTCAGTCTGTAAGTCTATGATACACAACTTGCAAGCATGGCTACTACTACGTGAAAAGGAGAGGAGCATGCTCTCCTAACGGAAAGACAGATGCAAACCTTTTATTAACAGAGAGCTCATCAGTGAAATACTCACCCTAACGACGAAAGTTGAGTTACTGATTGTGAACAGAAAAGGACATTTTCAAAAGCACTCCAGCCCTGCTGGAAGTAAGATTTATAACCTGCTTTCTGGAGCAGTCCTGCTCCTCTCCCTACTTATTTTCAAAGTTTACTTTCAGACTTGACGTAACCCTTGTATACTTGGCAATTGATGCTTTGGCCCTCCAGCCTCATGAGGAGGCTTACACTGACTCCCAATTCTCTACCTCCACAAAGGCCTTCTGGGTCAGGCCAGGAACAACCCACGTGGTTCCCTTTGTAGGACTGTCTAGAAAACATCACTTACTATCCATGGCATGAAGATATTCCATATGAAGAGCACCAGCTCCTGCCGTGGCAGCTGAAGGAATGATGTCTGCATACGGGCTGCGCTGGCCTGCCAACAGAGCCATCTGATGGTAATATTCAGCTGGGCTGACGCCAGCGTGTGGAGCTAAAAACACAACATAAAGAGCGCCGTTAATGACGTAAGATAAACGAGAAGGAAAGTTTTATCACAGTGCTGGCTATTAAAACAGCTTGTTTATTTTTTAATGTAATGCAACATCTGCAGTATGCCACTGCCGGTCAATATATTTCAGCCACTGACACCGCAAAGACACCACTCAAAAAACAGCAAGGCATAAAATACTAATGAGCTCGGTGATCTCATATTTTTATATTTATTATTAAGTGACTTAAAAAGTGACAGGCTGACAGCAATGGAAACTAGCATGATTTATGTAGTGACAGAAAAAGGCAGGAAAACCTTCCTAGAGTTTTATTCCCATTTACCTCATCCCTGGTCCAAAGGGCTCTGTCTCTAAGGTAACGACGGGGTTGAACTTCCATAAGCATTCAAGTTTCTGGAGTCTCTGCTTAGAGGACCAGGAGATTTTTCACTCACAGTGGCACTTTGTGTATAAGTTGAGAAGAAATCAAGGACAAAGCATGTTTTCAGGATAAACACTACTTGTCCATGAATAACACAGGAGCAGTTTTTTGGGAGGACAGACTGAAGTCAATGAATGTGGCCATCCCATCCTTCAAAATTCATATATGAAGTGTACTTGACATAAGCATGTTTGCGGAGTCTGTTTGACTCTGCAAACATGACCAAATAGGCTCTACATCCCATCAGTGAGACGACGAGCAATGCAGTCCTCTGATAATGACTTTTATTACCCTTTCTCTCCTTTAATAATAATATGTGAGCAGTCTGCTCCCCTGAAGTTTCCAAGCATGCACCAACTAATGGACAACTCTGTACAAACACAAAAATCCACAAAATTTTAGTATCACCCCATCTCAACAGGCTTCAGATGCTACAGTAAGTAGAGCATCATTCCATGAGGTGAGCAGCCCTCCTCTCTGCTCTCTACTTGTCCCACTTGCAAAGCAGTTCAGATTTCCTTATGCTCTGCTCACCAGAAGTTGGTATGTAAGTTTGCCTGAACCACTTCAAGTTCCTTAGGTTAATGGGCTACACCCCAACAGATTATTTCTGTATTATTTCTTATTATTTAATAAGATTTGTCTTTGATCCCAGGAACTGATTCTTGAATGGAAACAGAATTTTAAGCTGAATTTCTCTGAGCTACCAACTTAACCTGAATATCGTCATTACACAGTATTACTAAAAAGGGCAACTTATGTTAACATTAGAGAATCGAAGCCTAAATGCAAACCCCAGAAGCAAAGAATCAATATTGACATGAAAAGGAGGTAAACATGGCATTGGAGTCTGAAGAAAAGTTTATTCAGCAACAGATTTCTTAAATGCATAATAATCTGCCTTTATTTTTACCAAAGAAAATGGCAGAATGCACTTTTGATGTTACAAGGTTACACATAACCAGTTTCAGGAAAGGTTCAGAAAAATAAAAGTACATCAAAAAAGAACAGGAATGGCATTAAAAATGAGCTGAGATTAAAGGCTGTTGGCATTTTTTTCCACATTACAAATTGATTTCTCAATTAAATATAATCTACTTCAGCCACCACCACTTTCTGTGGAAGGGCAAAAAAATATTCAGACCAAATCTTAAGAGAGGAGTAACTCACACTGAATCACTGACATTAAAAGTTTTACTGTAGTAGACAGCCATCGTATCTTTCCAGACACGCTGAAAATGCTTCCTGAGCTTTCTGACCTAAGTGTCTGGGTTAACTAACAATAACATTGGCTGCAAACTTTAAAATGAACTGCTGCAGAAAACGCAGCGAGCACATAATTGCATGACTAAATGTTCCATAAGCTGAGAAATGCTCCGCTGCTCTTTAAAGATCGTTTCTTACTACCTTCTTCAAACATAAAAAATTAGCCTACTAAATGATGTATTGCATGAAGGGTAAATGAAGGGTAAACGGGAAGGCCCGCAGCCCTGAATTATTCTGCTGTTTATTCCTGGGTAGCTTCAGCTTTGCCCCTGCTCTTCTTTACAAGGGGAGGCATTTGCTTCTGCACTGTGCGCACTGCTGAGCTTCGTTTGAGCACTCTGCTCTACACATACCGACAATGCAATCCTTATCCCTGCCCCGGTCCCTCTGTGTTGTTCAGATGAGTCTTCTGCCACCCCTGCCTCACTGACTCTGCTGGGTAAGGTGAAGTGACAAGACAGAAGACACTCTGCCATTAGTGCTGCTGTGGCAGTCATTAATTACAGCTGGCAAGACTTGTAGTGAACACTAAACTGCTCTCTGTTCTGTTCCAGATTGTTTTGGCTCCTGGCCATCTCCAGATCTGTGAGACGACAGACTAAGCCCAATAGTACACTGACCTAATTATCTGACTGGCCTAAAGCAGTCAGGGTAGCAAGAGAAATCTTGCTATGAATTTCAGAAGAACAATAACAACTTCCAAGTCTTCACAGTTCAAATGCTGTATGACAAGCCATGGTGTCTGTTATGTTACTAGTACATTATATGCCTGTACCCCTTTACATCACAGGGGGGTTTATTTGCATTTTAGTAGTGCTCAAGCCCTATCCTGGATCATCTGATCCCAGGAACCTACACCAGACAAAAGCATGTAAGTGCACACCTGACGGATCACACAATAAACTACGGATGCCAGAGAAAAAATTCATCAGCTTTTTAATGAGCACGTCATTTTACTAATATACCTCCAGTGCCTCAGTCAAGTTACTGTATTTTCATTAGGTGCTGCACAACACCTGGGCTGTGTAACTGATCAAAGGTGAGCTGTGAGCCTGGAGGAAACGTTAGGTAACATGTATTTGTTTAAAACACAAAGAAAGAAACTTAAGCTAATATGCCTAACCTGTATTTATGAAAGGCTAAGACTGTGCATAGAGTCAGCAATCAAAGCTCAAGGGATGTCATTAAGACAGAGAATACTCAACTGTGTTGTCTACACCCCAGTGTCTTATGCCACCTGAAATTCCATGGATATACAAGGCACCTACATAAGATGACAGACATTAGAGGAGAAAACTGCCTTTCCAAGGTGGCAGCAGGAGTTGAGGCAAGGTATTTCACAGACCTGAACCAACACAAAACACATCTATCATAGTCATGATGAAGATCCAGATTCAAATATAACATGCAGGTGTCTGTATTTGGGTGAACTGAACAGTTCTCTAAGGCTCCACTGAATGCACTGTCTAGAACTCACTGGACTATAATGGCAAAACAGCACACCAAGATCACAGACATTTCTATACTGCAGGGACCTAAATTCCAGAATCTGGAACTAAATTCTACCCTGAGACATCTTAAGAGTTTCAGAGTGATTACCACTGGCCTGGTGAATAGAGTAAAGCACCTCTAGAAGATCTCTGTCCTTCCGGAGTGTGAAATGGTTGCTGATTCAGATTCCCCAGTGTATCTTAGAGCACTACATGCCTACAAGTGAATTTGGTGTTGCATACCTGAGACCAAGAATGTACACAGGTTAATGTCATATGGTTGTGTGATAGGTGGTTTCTTTCCCTCCTTTCTTTGTATATGCAACTGGAGCATACCTTAGACCACCAATAAAATTCTGCAGGAATGTGATCTGAAGATTATTAAAGGAAAGACAGTGAAATGTTCTTCATATCAGCTTTTATGAAAAGCTCGAATGTATATCACAAGAATTTTCCCAATTTATGCCATTACATATAGTTCTATCATGTTTATCCTGTATCAAAAGCTCCAAAGCTCCACAAGTCAAAACATGTATTTCTGAAATTCAGCTTGTTCCTTCACAATATACGTATTTATATTTTTAATGCTTTGGCTAAAATACAAAGGGTAGAATTAGCATGGATTCATACAGCATCCAAAGTGCTGCTAGGAAAAGCCCTATGTGCATGCCATATACCTTGATTGACAATAGGCCATTAAAATCTATTCTCATAAGAATATGTGCCCATAACTAATGGATTAACTGTAAAGGTATATGTTCTTACAAGTGAGGATTAATTAGTTATCCATTTGGATAGAGTGCATGGCTCATTTTTCAAATTCAGCTAAAGGCAGTTTAACTCTGTTTGGTAAGTTTCTGCATAGTTGGGAAGATCCTTCCCATAGTTGAAACAATAGTTTAATTATCTTCACTACATATTTGTTTCCAAGTATGTTATATTTTAGCTCTCTTCAGCAAATGCTGCGATTTTGAAATGTCAAAATGTTTACTCTAGTACTGAAAAACCTACTGCTAACAACATTGAGCCTTTCTGCAACTCTATTCATCGCTCGCTTCAGCAAAACTCCCATGTAAATGAATAGGAAGTGTGCCAGAGTAATGACAAGAGTGATCACAGGAATTCACTTCAACTCAAATAACCTGGAAATAGCCATGGTCACACCAAGACATAAAGCAGTTATGTTTCAAGTCTACTGCCCACCATTTAAACTGAAGGGGCCAGTCCTGATCATCAGCTCTACATCGGCATCATTTCATTTGGCCGTATCATTGGCTGAAATAATTCTACACCATTTTAACAGAACTGTTGACTAAATGTAACACATCAGTGCATGCTTTACATGATTGAAAAATACTATTTTAGTTAATAAGCCTTCTGCACCTGAAGAATTCTATGGCTATACGCTGACGTAATGCTTATGAAGAATCTGGCTCACATCAGTGCAGACACAGCAGATTTCTTTGGAGAACAGAATCACACCCTGGGTCAGCTCCACAAACCAAAGACATCACAAGAGATACACCACCCTTCCAGCTTAAATTTTGAATGAGGCAGGGCTTTTTCTTCTTTTCCTTCTCCCTGAACTTTCAACATTTGTGAGATGTACAAATGAGCCATGATCGGCTGATGAAGTATTGAAACATTTATGACATAATGAATATGTCTGACAAACCTGCTGAAGCTGCTTTGAACAAGGGGGGAAAAGAAATGTTGACAAGATTAATATAACTTAAGTTGCTACAATGACAGAAAACAGGAAGCCTGTCTTAACCCACCGTCTGTTGGGCTGAGCCCACGGGCTGCCGAGATCATGGAGAGGGACGGGCTGCTGTGCAGGGACCTGATGTAGTCCATGTAGGGGTTAATGTATGGGTGAGGGGTGCTGAAGGGAGACTCTGATGTTGCAGCAGGATTTCGGTGTGGGGAAATTCTAAGGAATGGAAGCTCTGAGTATGTCGGGCTACTTGATAAAGCAGAAGGCCTGGAAGAAAAAAGAAAGAAAAACAAACAAAAACCAGCCACGTTATTGATACAATAAAGAAAAACACTGTAAAGGTAACACAATCATTTCCTGAAGAACAGAACTGGGTTGCACATGGAATAACTTCCACTAAAGTCAACTGCCTAGAAAGAAAAAGATAGGAAATTAATCCTTCTCTCTACCCATATTAGCAACATTTCTCTGATGAATTTTAACGTGCGTTTATACTTGGTTTAATCTTTACATCCATCAATACTCTTTCCCATGGAGTCCAGCAGAAAATCACTTCAATTAGTGTGAAATATGCACCCTGTATACCACATCGTAATTCTTACCGCAACATGGAAAACACACAGAGATGCTGAACCATTTATGTCTTCAAAACCACCTATTCTATGATTCTATGACTATCAGAGTAAGTTTCAAGAGCTACACTGCACCCACTCCCTTCACTTGCCAGCTTACTTCTCCTGAAAGTGGGAGACTACACATATATACAGAAATCATTTCACAAGACCCAAACTTTGTAAGCTGTTAAGACAGCCGGGTCCTCTGGAGTATGGAATGCCCCTTCCCGTGAAAGATGCACGAAACATGGTACAAGAGAGAAAAGATTGCTGCGTATGTTTGGGTTTAGAATGTCACCAGAGACTGCTGATGCCTTTAACAAGACCCCATTAGTTAACTACCTCATTCTTGAGAGAGGAGAGCTGTGGTGCCTTCTCGGACTACGTGTGTGAAGCTGTGATGAATCAAGGTTGAAAGCTGAGTTCACAACTGACAAAAGACAAATAACCTGCTGTAACTGTCTCCATCACCCCACACTGTCGACAGGACAGCATCCAGGCTCTGTGTGGAGACCTCTCTTACAGCATCCTGCCTCCAAAGGCACTGGAAAAAGTCCAAATTTCATCATCCTTGGCAAAAGACAATGATTAAACCTGTCATGCATTTGCTGTAGTCCAACTGGTTGACCTGAACTAAATGCCTTTTTGTCCCTGTTTTTCCAATTAATTTAGCATATATATAGCACAGACGCAGGCAGCAGCTGTGAGAGCAGTAAGGGCATCCTGTTCCTTTGATGCTGCTGGCTTACAAAGAATAATAAAACATGAAATGTATTTTTCTTTCTTTAACATACACATACTGTGATCAATAGAGATAGCTGTCATCACCTAGTAGGCCAAGAGGACTTAACCTTACACAGGAGCTGATTCTGCCCTGCCATCAGCTTGGAAATGGCAGCGTATGAGTGGGACAAAGATCAAAGTTACACATCCTAACGTGACACTGGCTTCCCTGCCACAGAATCCATGATAGCTCATAAAATCTGAGGAATAAAGATTTATCCTGTTGGGATTTTCTCCCTCTTTTTCCTTCCCTATTTGGCTTTTGTGTGTTTCTTGCCCTCCTACAGCTTTCTTCAAGGTAAGCTTGTTTAGCCTTCCCGTATGAAACTACCTCCTAGCTCCAAAGTTAGAGCACTGCATTCGCTGTGTGCTAGCAGCAGGTACTGGCAGTGCAATCACTCCTTTGGCACCCAAGCAAGTGACCCATGGGAAGACCAGACACCCACTGGTACACCTACACCATGCTTAAAATGCAGAGAACCTGAAACCAGAAGCTGTTTTCCAGCACCGTGCAAAAACCAGGCATCTCCTCTCCTCAGAGCACCTTTTCTCTGCGTAGTTGGGAAGCCCCTTTGTTTTACGCTGGAAACGCAGCTCTATTCTTCTTGGTACTGTTAAACCCCACCAGCCACGAAGCTGTTTTGTGGTTCCGTATCAGGCCGAGCCTTTCATCAGGGGGATGTAAGAAGCAAAAATACCACAGCTGGATATCACATTACAGGGTGAATTTCCCATCCTGGCAGCGAGGAAAACACGGCAGTACAGCAAATTTAACACCCGGGTAACCGAGAAACTAAGTTTGGATGTCATTTTACAAGTCATTTTTTCTAAAGCAATCCCATCTCAGAGCTAGGAACCCAAAGAGCACCCGGAGAGCACGCAGGCAGGCAGGAGCCCTGGCCTTATCCAGTGCATATCGAACAGAAAACCATTTAAAAGCTCCTGCAAGACGGCTCAAAGTCTGTATCAGCCTCAGTGATTCACTCTCCAGCTGGCCACCAGCCAAACACTGCCGCGGGAGTTAGAAAGAGCCAGGCTGTCAGCTTCTCCCTCCGGATCCAATGGGAGCCATTCAAGGACACTAGGACTCAACTGCTTCTCCTCCTCCTCAGCCCAGCCTCTTCCTCACCCTGCTCCTCTGAGCTCCTCAGTTTTCCAAGGATGCTAGAGAAAGGATGCCAGAGAAAGGATGCCAAGCTGTGTAACATCAATCGGCAGCAGGCATATAGGCTGTATTCAGAGGCAGAAATAAGGAGTCATCAGATTCCACATAAAATTCCCAGCTCTGGACTCTAGTGTTTACTAATCTCTCTCCAACATCTGATTTGAACATGCTGCTTACTTCTCTCCTCGCTTCCAGCTTGTACTTTTCTCACTCCTCTGTTTCCAGACCCTCCTTTACCTGCCTCCATCTGCTCTCAGTCCCACTGTGTAAGCCCTCCTGATTTATTCCAATAAACATCACATATTCTTCCTTTCCCTCCACGATTAAACTTCACTATGAACATCTTCCAAAAGTATTGTTTAACTCCCCTTTACAAACTAAAACGTGACTTTTAGAAAGGGTGCAGCCAAACACGCTTACTACTAGCTGTTGCTTTGCAACCTCTTTGTGTACCAATGAAGAATGACTTTTGTCCTGTAAACAACAAACAGCAGAGCCCAGAAGCAGCTCTGCAGACTCTCATTCAGTGACAAGCAAGTGAAAACTCCAGATGTGAGCAGCAATCCACTCCCATCGTTTTTATTTCACGTGTACTTTGTCTCTAACCTTAACTAATGGTGTTCTGCCTTGGGTCTGAGGCTGCTCTGTGGGACGCAATGAGGCTTCAGCACGAGAAAAGGGACATTTTCAGTGATGCTGCTTGCGACTTTATGCCTCATCCATAAACCATGGGAGATCAGAACTTGCTCTGCATCTTCTCCGGCACAGGGGTTTTCCTGTTCAATGATGAACTGTGAGCACTGAGGCCTCCTTCAGAGAGAGGGGCAAAGCAGATGCATACTCTTTTCTGAATCAGGACCTTTGTGCCTACTCCCAAAGACCCTGCAAATCTTGAAAGAATCACGTGTTTTTTGACTAGGGGTAGAAGTCCCCAGGTAGGTAAGCAGGCACAGAGCTTGCTGACTGTGGCCCTTCAGCCATCCTCTCTTCTCAGTGCCATACTGTCAGGATTCAGCAGCAATTTCCAGTCTCTGCCCACATCCCTAGTGTGACAGATTGAGATGTGAGAGGTACCAGGACAGCTCTGGATATTAGGCTAGCAAAGGCAGCAAATGCTGGCTCATTTTTCCCTTCTAACTTGCACCTTTTCTCCCACCTATGTTCCTGAACTGCTCCTATGGCACGAGGCAAAAGGAAACCACAGCTGGGAATACACAACTTCCTTGAATTCTATACATTTGAAACACTAAAATATTCTGTGAATTCCAGCTTCTAAAGAAATGAAGACTGACAGAAATATTAATGGGTTTTTGTTTCCCAAGCTAACGGACCTGTAACTGTTCAGAAATTTCGTAACAAGAACACTGAATTCCAATTTGCCCTAACCCAACCTGCCATTCTCCTTTTCTCACCCCCTTCCCAACTAAGTCACACAGTTCTACCATTCAGAGGACCAGCCTAAAGTACTATGAAGCCACTTGACATGGATTTACACTTGTAATTGAGTAAGGGAATATCAATGCAGTGCTCATTATTCCTGTTGTTGCATCTCTTGCAACTGTGAAAAGTACAGTGGGACCTGGGGTGCACTGTGACCCCCTCTTTGTCTTCAATAGCAACGATGTAAAGCCACACAAGGACAGCCACAAAGGTCTGTGACACAGGAAAATCTGATGAGAATCTTGAGGTTGCTTTGGTGCTGAAGTGATTTGCCATGAATAGTTTCCAAATAGCTTTAAGATGTGCTTGGGCAAAAACCTCTTTAAAGCACAACCTGTCTTAAAAAAAAACATAGCGATTTAAGCATTCCCTGATTTTAAAGGAAACTATAACTCCAGGACTGGAAATTTTAATGCCAAGTTTTGTCCTGATAAATTTTTAAATGGCTCTTTTATGAATCTGTTGAAAAATACATTTATATTGAAAACAGCAAGTGATCCTTAACTATAACATTGTAAATATGACACTGAGCTGAGGTTACAGATGGAACAATCATCTATCTCACAGAACAAAGCTTGTCAACGAAGAGGGATGAAATATTGTAACATAACCTAATTTATTATTGCCTTTTCATCCATCTTGTTATATTATGAAAGTGTCAAAGTTCAAACCTCGATATTTAATCATTTAACAGTACGTTATTCAATGCTGGAGCAAGCATTGATGGCATAACTCTCATACCAATGATATCCACAGTGTTTCTCTGATACCTGCTCAATTCAACCCTGCCTGGAGAATTGAAAAATGTTAAAACTCATTAAACTGCTTCCTATGATCCTTTTCTAGGTGCAGTAAGCTTCTGATGGCTGCCCCTAAAACATTTAACACTTATTTCCAGTAGATCCTGGAAGATGAACAAACAATAAGGACTCCCTTGTTGCGTAGTGAGTCCTATTTTAAATAGGCACATGGCTCAATTCCTTTGGTAGTATCTCCCATGTTAAATGCATATTGTTTGTTTAATGCCATAGTTGCTTGTACACACCAACCCTCAGTCAAAGGGTTAGTGTGTAAAAGGTTTTTATATCAGGAAAGCTGAGCTCTAGGGCTTGATCCTGAAAATGCAAGTGAGAACAATTCTAATAGCTGTGATTAGCCCAAGTGATCAAGTTACTCCTCACAGTTACAAGCACATACGTGGTTATAGGTGATCAATAAATCAGGCTCAGGCAGCTAACTATGCACCTAAATGAGACAAGAAAATT